CCCGAACCCCGCGAAGCTGCACAAAACAACCGGCCGCGGAGGGGTGTCCACTGGGGCACTGCAAGCCGAACCGATTGCAAACCGAGGAGGGGACCGGCGCCGTGACCGAGAGCCGCGATCCGAGCCCAAAGGCCCGGGAGAGGAGGCGGGTGCCCGGCTTCAGCACGCAGGGTCAGAGGCTGCCGCTGGCCGCAGTCTCCATCGCAGGGAGTGAGGAGAAGCCTCACACCCAAGACTTTCTGGGCAGGAGACAGGATGACCGGGTCAGGAAGGAAAAGATAAAGGACAAATGGAGACCAAGATGGTGGCTTGAACTGCGTTACTGTAAGAGGACCTGTAGCTCTTGATCCGTTACTGTACGATGTATAATATCCAGTAAACATTACCAACCCCTCCCGGGGGTTGAACCCAAGGACGCTCTACCACTGAACATGGGCCCCACTTCTGCTCCCCTCCCGTCTTCCTTGCTTTTTTCTGCTACCTGGGATCATCTCAGGCCCTTGAGCTTGCCAGGAAGGTGCAGGGCCACTGAGCTACATCCCTGGGCCCCTTTTCTGTATTTTTAAAAATACGGAATGCTTCACAAATTTGCATTGCATCCTTGCACAGAGGCCATGCTAATCTCTGTATCATTCCAGTTTAGTATATGTGCTGCCGAAGCAAGCACTTTTCTGTATGTTTGAAATAGGGACTTACTGAATTGCCCAGGCTGACTTCAGACTTACGATCTTCCTGCCTCAGCCTTCCAAATAGCTGGGATTACAGGTGTGTGCAACCATGCCCTGTCATTTTTGTTTATTTATTTTAATGTTGCCCAGGCTGGCCTGCAACTCTTAGGCTCAGATGACCTACCTGCCTCAGCCTCCCAAGTAACTGGAACTGCAGGTACTCCTACTACACCCACAGCTTTTTTTTTTAAAACTCTTTGCTATATGTATGTATTATTTTTATTTTTTATAGTACCAGGGATCGAACACAGGACTTTGCACTTGCCAAGCAGGTGCGGCATCCCTGAGTTACATCCCTGGCCCATTCTTTGCTGTTTTTAGATCAAATACTTTATAGATGAAGACACAGAAAAGTTTAAGGCAAAAAGATAAATCAAGCAAACACTAACTTAAAGAAAGCTAGTTTAGCAATTATTAATATCATAGTAAACTTTTTTGGGGGGAAGCTTTGAGATAGGGTCTCACTGTATAGTTCTGAACTTGCTATATGGCTGGCCTTGAAGTCACTCTACCCCACCCTGACTTCCAACATGTGGTGATGCTCCTGCCTCAGCCTCTCAAATGTTGAGATTACAGGCGGTCTCCACCACACTGGGCAATAAAAGTAAACTTTTAAAAGAAGTCTCACTCAGGAGGGATTTGTGCTGTGGCAAGGGGGGTCAGTTCAGTAATGAGTGAAACAGTCCTGATATGTGTGCTTCTAATAGCTTGGTTCATAACCATGTGAAACCAAAGCTGCTGGCCCTAAAAGAGTGAAGTCTGATTCACAGGGAGAGAAGAGACGTGAGTGCAGTTCTCAGTGTTAAACTAACCTTGAATTTCTGGGGTAAAGGTGTCACTTCAAGGTGCCACTTCTGCCTCACATCTTTGGGTTGAACTTGGCGGTGTTTAGTCTCGCATCTGTGTTCAGACCTAGTGGCTGGTGGTAGCACAGCATGCAGCTTTACATTGCTGAACCAGAGCACCTGATGCATCTCCAAGCAGATCTCAAAGGCCGCCAACAACTCCTCAGAGGGCCAGAGCCGTGAGTCTGCTCTTCGACTTTAGTGAGCTGAAGTCAGAGTCATCAACAGGAACCAGAAGGACGCTGTGTGCTTCTGCGTGAAGCCGACACTCGTCCATGTTATATACGTCAGGGCCAGTCGCGTGGCAATTCTAAAACAATTTGACCTGAATGACCGTGAAAATATACTGTATCAAAACTGGACACCACCTCGAAAACAGCGTGTATAGCTCTTACTGTCCTCATTCGGAAAGAAGGAAGATTCTATTTGAAGAAGCAAGAGTGTGTTATGTACATGTACCAACTCCCTACAAGTATAATCATGGTATGCTAAAAAATTGTGAAACAAAGGAAACAAAGAGAAGACTAAGCTGCAAAGAATAAGAAGGGAGTGAAGAGCAGGTGTCAGTGGAAAAGGAAGGATCGGCACGGTGCACGCACCTGTAGTCCCAGCACTCTTGGAGGCCGAGAGAGGCGGACTGAGGGTCCTAGTCCAGTCTGGGCGATTTAGCAAGGCTCTGTCTCAAAATAGAAGAAGAGGTTGGGATTTAGCACAATGCAAAAGATTTGGGTTCCATCCCCAGTACTGATGGGAGACAGACAGGAGAAGCAGGGAGAGGGAGGGAGCAGGCATACAAAAACGACCCAGAAATGCACAGCGCCGAAGTTGGGTTGATAAGCTCCCATCTAAAGTGGTCAGTGAAAACAAGGCAAGCACCGTTTGCCAATAAAAGTTGTAGAAAAACCCACAAAATAACCAAATAAATAAATAAATTGGACTTCACACAAAAAATAGAAGTTATAGAAAGCTCATTACTGCAGATCTCATAGATACTGGGAAGATGTTAAAGGAATACTCCAAGCAACCTATGCCAAGCCTCAGAATATGTTGTAGGGAACAGGAAAATTCCTTGAAAATGCAGTTTATAAAAAACTGAAGCAAAAAGGGAGAGGAGTTGAGAGGTCTGTGATTTGCTCAGGAAACTGAATTATGACTGTGAAACCTCTCCACAAAGAAGCGCCGGACACACCAGCTGCCCTAGTGAATCGCTCCAGCAGTAAGAAAAGGGGATCGTCTGCTGCCTGCCTACTGGAGCCGGTGGCCAGGCTGGGACCCCAGACCTGACTGCAACTGTGGGATGCAGGACTCTTTGGGAGCAAGGGGGTTGGTGTGGTGTCTGGGCTTGTCTGGTGGGATGTGGCACGCTCATTTATATTTGGATTCATTTCTGAGATGCGCAGGGAGTCTGGTCTCCAGAAAATTGTAATATGACAAAATTAAAATTGTTGCCTGGTGGAAGACTCTGGAGATGGCACCACCCACCCTTCTGAGGAAGCCTCTCTGCCCATGCATGGCAGCAAACCTGGTGACCCTCGGTGGTTCACTGGCAGTTTCTTGAAGTCTCAGACACGATCATGAAAGAGGTATTTTGTTTGTTTTGCTATACTGGGGACTAAGCCCACAGAGGCTGTATCACTGAGCTACATCTCTAGCCCTCTTTTTATTTATATATTTTCATGTTTTTTGGGTTTGTTTTTGTTTTTGTTTTTTTGAGACAGGGCCTCACTATGTAGGTGAGACTGACCTGGAACTCACTATGTAGCCCAAGCTGGTCTCGAACTCACACCGATCCTCCTGCCTCATCCTCCCAAGTGCTGGGATTACAGGTGTGCACCACCACGTCCGGCTATATTTTCATGTTTTGAGATAGGGTCTCACTATGCAGACCAGGGTGGCCTGGAACTTACTTTTTTTTTTCTTTTGGTACCGGGGATTAAATTTAGGTCCTTGTGTTTACGAGGCAGGCAGCAGAGCCATTGAATTAAATCCCCAGCCCTGGAACTCACTAGATAGCTTAGGTTCGCCTTGAACTCCTGACAATCTTCCTGCCTCAGCCTCCTGAGTGCTGGGATTATAGGTGTGCATCCCCCCCACAAGGTTTTTAATTTTATTTTGTGACAGTGTTTCACTACATTGGCCAGGCTGGCCTCAAATTTGTGATCCTTCTGCCTCAGCCTCCTGAATAGCTGGGATTATAGGCGTGCTCTACCATGCCCCATGAAGAGGTTCCTGGATGTTCACTTGTGCACAGTGAGGCCTGACAGGCGTGGTACTGCAGTCCCAGTTTGAGAGGGCAGAGGAAGAGCCATGGTTACAGCCTGGGCTGCTGCCTCAGGGCTGGGGTTGGGAGGAGGCCAGAGCCTTCTTAGGTTTGGGACTGGCCCCGTCAGTGTGAATCGCAGCTGGACGTGGCCCGCTTTGTGTTTTGGACCGTTGCTCGCCAGCTTCTACCCTCCCGCTCCTCGGTGATCCTCGTGGGAGGCCTTGTGCATCCTGAGAACACTAGGTCCCCAGGGCGAGGCTTCCAGGTGTCGGCCACATGGGAGGGACCAACTCTCAGCTTAACGACCTCTGTCCTTCATTGCTGTCAGATGCTGTCTCCCCAGGTTGATGTTAAAGGCTGTTACTGTTCCCGGAATGAAACTACGTCTGTGACAGCATCACAGCATCACTGGTAATCTATAAAAAATCTTTTTTTCTTAGCATTGTGAGGAGCTCCCCTGCTGCACGGTGTCTTGCTGTGTTGCTCAGGCTGGTCTTGAACCCCGGCCCAGGATCTTCCTGCACGCCTGGCATGGCTCCTGTCCCACCGTGGAGGAGCAAGGATGCAACAGCCAGGAAGCTGGTGGGACTGAGCCACATCTCTGCCTGGGAACTGAGCCCTCAGACGGCGCAGCTCCGGGACCTCCTGCACGGTAGTCAGGGGCTCTGCCTGGCCCGACACCCTGCACTGTGGCATTGGGGATGGGAACCCGGCAGTGACTGTGTGCACTCGGACCAAGGCGCCGAAATACAGGCTGACTCACCGTCGCCAGAGAACTGTGGGAGGCATTAGTTGTTTCCAGTAAGAAACTGCTTCCATACTAGCAGGCAGCCTGGGGTGCTGCCACACCCCTATCCCTTTTTAAAGTTTAAGACTGGGTCTTGCTAGCCTCAGCCTCCCAAGTACTTGGGATTACAGGCGTGCACTACCATACCCACCTTGTGGGTCATCCCCAGCTGCGTCTCTGCCTTGAGCAAGCCCTCCTTACACAGGTGGGCTACCACGCGTCTGTTTTAAATTATTTTTTTAGAAAAACATGTGTTTCTGGCAGATGCCACTGTGCCTCATTGTGGCCGTTCACTGCCAGCCACCGTGAAGCCCACCACGTTCTTTGACTTTGCTGCTGCCGGTGAGCCCTTGACTCCTTCGAGCTGTTTTCAGAGTCTCAAAGACGACAGAAAAGTTTTGTGCTCTGAGCACTGGAAAGGGTTTGGAAATTAGGGTTCCTGCTCTCACAGAATTATTCCAGGACTTATGCACCGAGGTGGTGGCTTCATGGCCCTGACGCTGAGAGCTCCCTCCTGAAGCACACAGGTCTTGGCACTCCGTCCATGGCAAACGCTGGGCCAAACACAAGCGTCTCCCAGCTTTCCTTCTGCACGGCCAGACTGAGTGGCTGGAGGGCAAGCATGCGGTCTCTGGGAAGGTGAAGGAGGGCATGGACACTGCTTCGGGTCCAGGAATGGCAAGACCAGTAAGGAGGTCACCGTTCTCGCCTGTGGACGACCCTGGTGTGCGTGACCGTGCGGACCAGGCCGTTCCTCTCGCTCAGGAGGGCACCTCCACCCCACCTGCTGCTCACAGCGTCCCATCGGCTCTGCTCTCACTGTGCTCCTCTGGTTCCTTATTTTCCTTGTTCCCCTCCAAACAGAGCTGGATTGCAGAGCTAAGTTTATGGTTATGAATAAAAACTAAGCAATGATCTAAAAATGTGTTTTGATATAGAGATAAGTATTTATTTGACATGCAGGTCTGAATCATTAAAGGAGGTAAAAATATGTAATTCAAAATTTTAACTTTCATAGCTATAGAAGTAGTACAGAAGCCATAGCTATGTCCCCCATAAGTTGTTTTAAATAAAATCATGTGGAAACCCATTTCCTGTGTCTCCTTCCCTTCCTAGAGCTTGTGGCGCCTTTGCCCCGGAGGGTGGGGCTGCGAAGAGCCAGAGGCGGGAGGTGTGGCTGCAAGAGGAGCCTGGTTTTGTGGCCTGACTCCCTGGTGGTCAGGAAGGTGCGCCTCTTGGCAGCTCCAGGTGTGGTGTGGGTCACGGCCGGAACCTGTGCCCTGCCGGTCAGACGCTCTAGGCCTGCACCTGCCCGCTGTGCCCGCCCACTGCTGCTCGGGGCTTAGCGTGCACCTCCATGCTTCTTCTGCCGCGGATGCACAGTTGCGCCGGCTGAACAGCATGTGGGGACCTGCGGAGCAGGTGGCGGTGAGGGCCTCCCTGCACAGGGCCGGGAGAGGCCTAGCACAGCACAGGGAATAGTGGTCACGGCAGGCGGCTGGTCGCGGCCAAGCATCACGCTCAAGGGGAGAGATGGAAGCAAGTGTTCACAACAGAATCTGAAATGAGCTCACTGAAACATTTAAATGACTGGTTAAAAACATGGCATTACAGCGGGGCACACACCCATGATCCCAGCACTTTGGGAAATTGAGGCAGGATGATCCCGGGCAACTTAGTGACTTAACAAGAATCTGTCTCAAAAACGAAAGAAAAGAAAAGAACTATGAGGTAGCTTAGTGGGTAAGCTCTAGGCTCAATCCCTAGTGTCATGTCACAAAAACAGACAGCAAACCAACCAGCCCACAAAACCAGAGTGTCACAGAGAGGCTGCACTGTGTTGGGTGTGATGTTCCACACACTGCACACATTTCAGTCCAGTGCTGTAAGGACACACGATTTAAAGGAGACATGACTGTGATGGTTTCACCCTTTGGGCTGCGTGAAACACTCCCTGCACACCATGGGGAGCCCCTAAATGTGAGGAAGGGGTTCACATCTGATGAAAGGGCTTTGGGGACCACGTTCTCAGCCCCGCGGAGAGAATGGTGGCTCTGGCGAGGGCCTGCACTAGAAGCTGTGATGCCCTCATGCTTGGCATGGGGGAACCTGGCGTCGGCTTAGCGCCCATCTAGAGCCTCTGGTTCTCGTGTCTGGCCTTTATCCCTGCCTGGAGGCACTGTTTGTGGAGTGCTGGCTTGGGAATGTGAGCGGAGCCTCACAGCAGAACTCGCTGTGGTCCCCTGGTGCTGCCAGGACCTGCAGGAGTCCAGGCTCATCTCCAAGTCCCGTGTCGGTGGGCACCCCATGGTCTGCTGCGTTTCTGAGGCTGGCCGCTGGGCACATTTACTGCGGGAGGTGGTGACAAAGGGCCCTGCTGCGTTGTGTGTGGGGCAGGCAGAACAGCACCAGTTAAACTGCCAAGCGGCTTCCCTGGCAGACGGTGCCTGCTGCCTCCTCTGCTGTCTTCTGTGCCTGTGCTGCACCCAGCACGGCTTTCTCGTCTGCTTCCCAGAGGCTGCGTCCAGCCCATTCTCGTGCCTGGTGCCACTCCTGTGCGTGCATGGGGTCTGAGCGGTCGGGGGTCTGGGCAGGATCCAGCTGGATCGTGCAGGTCTCCTCGGCTGGGATTGGCCTGGGGCCTTGGCGGCCCGAGGCGTGACTGCCTCCCAGGGCGTGGGCTGCGGAAGTGGCAGAGCGGCACCCTGACACCCGCACCACTGTTTTTCAGTGAATGAGTTCACGGTGATCAGGAAGAAGTTCAAGTGCCCCTACTGCAGCTTCTCGGCCATGCACCAGTGCATCCTCAAGCGGCACATGCGCTCGCACACGGGGGAGCGGCCCTACCCGTGCGAGATCTGCGGGAAGAAGTTCACGCGGCGCGAGCACATGAAGCGGCACACGCTGGTGAGTGCGGGCGAGCAAGGTCCACTCTGTGGGGGGAAAAGCTGCACCCTGCTGGAGACCCTGCAGTTAGGTTCCAGCACCCCAGTACCCTGCCCAGAATATGACACAGGCCTGGGGGAAAAATACACTATGAGAACCAGGAGAGAAAGTGGGGGCCGGGCCGACCAATGCCGGTGCACCCAACAAAGGTGCTGGCCAGGCCCAGGCACTGACTTTATCGGCAATCAGTTGGGGTAAAGGCGAGCTGCGTGCAGTTCTTTGGAGTTGAATGTAAACAGGGTTCATAAAGGACAGGACAAAGCGAATTAGGAACAGAATAGACAAAGTATATGGTTGTAGTTAGAACACTGTCCTTCTAGTCTGAAGGTTTTAGCTGTGGGAACGGAATTAGGGTGTGAGTTACTCTGACCTCAGCACGTAGGCTTCAGCCAGACTCACTTCTCAAAACTGTGGGGTTCACTCTTCACAGCTGGCCTTGGGCATCATCAGGATTACAGTCCGCTGCATCTCCCCCTGCTCTCTTTGGAAACAGCAGCTGCATCAGTGTGAGCTGCGACTGTTTCAGGGGCCTGTTTGCTCCCGGGCCTCATCAGCAGGTGTGCATCAGGTCTGGTGATCTTCCCAGGTCCGAAGGCCATCGTAAGTGAGGAGTCGCTCAGATGCGGCCTTTGCATGGCTCTCAGCAGGGTGTCACAGCAGGCTGCTTGCAGCGAATCCATCATCCTGGTCCATGGTGGCGCGTTCTGGGATGACAGCCACAGCATCTTTTTATTTTCTGTTGAAAAATAAGCATACCTGGCCCCTATGTTATTAATTGCATCAAGCCACTTACCTTTTATTTAGGACATTCTTTGACGACACTAGTATCTAGGACATGTCTATAGATCTTTCTTTGTATATATTTACTTTGCATGAGGAGATCTAAAAAAATTTAAATGAACATAACAAGATCTAACTAAACTTGTGGAAGTAACTGTACCTCCTTTTTGTTTTTGTAATTGAGTTTTTAGGGAAAAGTTTTTAGGGAACTTGTCCCCATGAGTTATCCCGTGGACCCATGTCACAAGGACTTACAATGTGTCTGACTGACTTAGCTGTCTGTACTAATTTCTTCTGTAAAGAGGAAATCTATAATCTTCAACTGCAGTTAGGGGAGAAAAGATGTAGTTTCAATCCAACTGATTTGAGCTGAGAAGGGTCAATGTAGGGAAGACCATAGTTAGGGGCTCTCTTTAGGGAGCTAACTTAATAAAAATCATGTTGTAACTTAACAATTTATTTTTTCTTTTGGTTCTGGGAATTGAACTTGGGACCTAGTGCTTACGAGGCTGGTGGCAGCACCACTGCGCTAAATCCCTGGTCCTACCAGATTGACATTATAAAGACAGTATATAATTGTTTAATTACATTGTGGGCCAGGGATTTAGCGCAGTGGTGTCTCCACCTGCCTCATAAGTGCTAGGTCCTGAGTTCGATCTCTGGTACCAAAAAACAAAACAAAACAAACTAATTAAAGTCAATCTGGTGGATTTTGGTAAAAAAAAAATCTAGCACATCTGTTGTTGATTTTTTTTTTTTTTTTTTTTTTTTTTTTTTTGGTACAGGGATTGAACTCGTGTTGATTTTATCTATATTAATCATATGGAGTTTGGCAGCCTATAACAAAAATAAATTTTTAAAGAAATTACAGTATGTATAATCAAAGTATAAGTATTAAAATAAAAAAAGCAGATTGGGGAAGGATCCCTATTTAAAAGCTGTTTCTATTGATTTTTTTTTTTTTTTTTTGGCACGGGGGATTGAACCTGGGTCTTTGCGCTGCAAGGCAGGCCACCAAACCGCTGAGCTAAATCCCCGGCCCTAAAAACTGTTTCTAAAAGACTAAAATAGTGATTGTAATCTGCTGGCTCTTAGACCCTTTCACTAAAGGAAGTTATCTAAAAGTCTGATATTTTGTCACAGTTTTTCTTTAAATTTAAAAAAATTAAAAATTGATTGAGCTCAGTGTTCCTTACAGGCACAGGGACCTGAGTTCAATCCCCAGTACCAAAAAAATAAATAAAATAAAAAAATAAAGATTGTGGATTCACATAAAAAGATTAAAAATTTAATAATTAAAAAACAATTTTAGCTAAAGTTTTTTTTAAAAAAACTATTGTTGAGATCTATAAATTTTACAATAATTTTTTCTTTCTTTCTTTCTTTCTTTTTTGTTACCAGGGATCAAACTCAGGACTTGTGCTTGCAAGACAAGCGCAGTGCCCCTGAACTAAATCCTTGGCCCTTACCATAGTTTTTTTTAATGACCCATAACAGTGGCAAGCCATCAGTATAGTTGGAAACTGCCACTAGGGGTCAGCAATTGAAGCCCCTTCTTATATCCAGCTTTATTACTGTGGTCTTGATATATCTTTGGATTATACTTTTCTACTGCATGTTCAAGATCAAGTTAAGGTGAAGACCTGTATTAATAAGAGTTAACCTCTTGTTCTCTATCAAAGTCAGTTAAGTCTACTCAGGCATTACTTTGAAGCCTTTCAGCTCCTGTCAGTGTCAGCCATCAGGATGGGTCACAGCCTTGCTTGACCATGTTGCTTTCAGTGAAAGCAGGGGAGATTTTTCCCTTCAAGTGACTCTCCTTTGGCACACTTTACATTTGTAGATTCTTATCTTTTTTTGGTGTCCAATGAGCTCCCTGCTCAGGAGGTTGGGTGACTTACTGAAGTTGTAGGATCTTATAGAAAAAGTTCTCTCATAACCTGGGTTGTTTATAGACCTTGAAGGGCCAGGGCCAAAATATTGGTTGTCTTCTTAGCCCAGTTACCTAATTCTGGTCTCTAAACTTTAGATGTTGGAACACTCAGAAGAGAAAATAAATAACATTAGCATTACAATGGGAGTAGTGAACTTAATTATTATAATTTTACCTGGATATCAAGCACTTTAAATATAAAATATAGTTAGGAGGCTATTATTACTATCAATCATGGCTGTTCTAATAGTTGTAAATTCCTATAAAACGTTAACAGAAAAAAAGCTTCAAATCAAGAGCCACACATATTTTAGCATGACAATCATGATATTATCTTTATGACATACTTAAATGTCCATCTTAGTATAAAATAGCCATTGTTAAACGTACTCATCCATCTACTAAAACACAAAAATTATTATTCAAATGATCTTTTTTTGGTACCAGGGATCGAACTTGGGACCTTGCACTTGTGAGGCAGGTGGCAGAACCACTGAGCTAGATCCCCAGCCCTAAAATTATCTTTTGATAAGATGCTATCTAAAGAAAATATATCACCAGCCTATAAATGTACCTGTTAAGTAGCTGGAGTATAAGAGAGAGGCAAATACGTAAATCAAAAGGAAGTTATTACCATATATTAGAAAACTTGTACAGTCAGAAAGCATGAATACATTTAGTATACTTGAAAACAGTAATAATTAATACAATTATATGAAATCTTGCCTTTTTAGTTTTGTACTAAAAGCAGCTTTTCAATAAAACCTTGTTTTCACAGGAAATTTAATCTTTTGATAATAACCAGTATAAATATATCACAAAAACATATTCAGAACTTAACCCTTTGATGAAAACTAATATAAACATATTACGATAGCATATTTAAGTAATATTCATTGATGTAAGTCTCTTATAAGGCTATGAAAACTATTGGGGTCAGTCTGTTGTAAGACTTTGGAAACTGTTGAGGTCCCCCTAGTAAGCAAAGACTGGAAAATATTTCCATGCAGCCACTCCTTTGTTTACCAAGGGGAGTCCCTTTAAAAAAATTTATTTTTGTTTGCAGTACTGGGGATCAAACTCAGGACCTTGTACTTGTAAGGCAGGTGCAGTGCCACTGAGCTACATCCCCAGCCAAAGCAGTTTTTCTAAACTGAAGGGTCTTCATTTATTACCTTGGCAAAGTTTATTTAATAATCTATAAGAACCAGATGGTAACTATACATTATTTTTAATCAGTTAAAAGTTTTGGAGTGATCATATTTAGACAACAGTATATATTATGTCATTTTGATCTGTTAGAAACCTGGGGAAAAAAAGAAATGCATGTTTTTTACTTTAATAACCTTTATAATAAGCCAATTTAAATTATAGGCAAATATCTTTTTAAAAAATTTTAAAGGGAAAAAATTGTTGAGCTCACACAAATTGGCTATATTACTGGACAGACAAATGGACAAACATATAAGACAATTTATAAAACTAGAGTGCACTTAAATATATTTAGCCTAATTGAATTATAATATCCTTTTATAATTTTTAGGTTTATAATTATACTTTTTTTTTTTTGGTACCGGGGATCAAACTTGGGCCCGTGTGCTTGCAAGGCAGGTGGCAGAACCACTGAGCCAAATCCCCAGCCCTAGGTTTATAATTATAAATAAGACTAGTCAAAACTTTTTGTAAGTCAATTAAGAGATCTCTTGTAGAATTAGAGTCAGAAGGAATGAAACCTAGTTATGCCTGTAAATGTAAACCTTTTATAACAAACTTGAAACAAGTAGACATACATATTTACTTGATAAATCACTTCTGCACATGTTCTCAAAGTACATAGGTCTTTTAATCTTGTATCTACATATCTCTATATGCTTCTAACATGACAAACGTACAAAATCCTTTCATATCAAAAGTATATCTCTTTTTTTTTCTGGTACCAGGAAAAGTATATCTCATTTACTTTGTAGCCTTAATATTTTTCCTCCATCTCACTTAATACAAACCTATAACTTGCTTCAGTGGTTTAAATTTTAAAGTGTCCTTTTTTTCTGTTCTCAGATTGTTACATTTTAAAATTTGACTAGCTGCCAATAGAACAGTAGTAACCTTGAGTTCTTCATAACAAGTCTGTGAGAGAGTAGGTCAAGTTAACCGTATAATTACAATTCAAGAATTTGTAATGCAAGAGAAATGTTTTAAGCACACCGATTAAACATCATCTAAATTGAAACATATATTTATCAATTAGCTAAAATTTGTAATTTGATTTCTCTAGTAAAATCTCTTTGTGAAAGAGCAGTTGCTCTAAAACTGTAAACAGTTCTCACCAGCAGCTGAGTGCCTTGGAGCAGAAGCTTGAGTGACTCCCAGGCTCCGTTATTTGAATCTCAAAACAGAGCACACAAGGCTCCAAGTTTTCAAGGTCTCAGTTAAAGTCTCAGGGGGAGATAACTTTGTTGTTGTTGAGCTGTCTGTATGTTAGTTTTGACAAACTCCCTAAGTTCCATGTAAAGTTCTCCTTTGTGAAAAATGACTATTATTATTATTGTTTTGGTACCAGGGATCAAACTCAGGACCCTGCTCTTGCAAGGCAGGTGGTGGAGCCACTGAGCTCAATCCAGGTCCTGATAATTATGTTTCACTATCTTCTGCAGCATTTATTTAAACACTGCAGGCTGGCTTGGGCCAAAAGCGATTACCCATGTTTTAGTCCTGACTGATTCCCTTTACTACCGTCTCGCATGTGAAGCACCTGCCTCTTGTCTGGGTTTTTCTTCCTGTTTGGACTGCCTTATCTCGATGCCAGGTTCACTGTATCATCGATTAGTTTTTCTTTCTCTTTTTTGCTTTTCATTATGAGCAGTCTCACTGAGCAGGTGATTGCGCTTGGTTCAAGGCCCCACAGTGAGCACCAATTACTGGAGACCCTGCAGTTAGGTTCCAGTACCCTGCCGAGGACATGACAGAGGTGTGAGAAATAAATACACCAGGAGACAGAAATAAGAGAAAGTGGGGGCCGGGCCGACCAATGCCGGTGCACCCAACAAAGGCGCTGGCCAGGCCCAGGCACTGACTTTATCGGCAATCAGTTGGGGTAAAGGCGAGCTACGTGCAGTTTCTATGGAGATGAATGTAAACAGGGCTCATAAAGGACAGGACAAAGCGAATTAGGTGGCGAGCTACGTGCAGTTTCTATGGAGATGAATGTAAACAGGGCTCATAAAGGACAGGACAAAGCGAATTAGGAACAGAATAGACAAAGTATATGGTTGTAGTTAGAACACTGTCCTTCTAGTCTGAAGGTTTTACCTGTGGGAACGGAATTAGGGTGTGAGTTACTCAGACCTCAGCACGTAGGCTTCAGCCAGACTCACTTCTCAAAACTGTGGGGTTCACTCTTCACAGCCGGCTTTGGGCATCATCAGGATTACAGTCCGCTGCATCTCCCACCTAATAGGGCCCCCACGGCTGCACTCAGGCCTGTGTGCAGAAGCCGGTCACCTGCCACCATCGCCCACCTGCCGGCCTCCATGCCCTGGCCTCATCTGCTTGTGCCCTGCACCTGTACCCAGCGCAGGCTCAGCACCTGGCAGGCACCCAGAGGGATGAACTAGCAAGGCCAGGTGGGTAAAGCATTGCCTGGGGCTCTGCCCTTGGCTCCCCACATATGTGTCTTCGTGTGAGGTGAAGACATAGGGAGCAGGAAGGGCCTGCGACAAAGGACAGGCCAAAGACAGACCCAGGGCCACTCATAGCCACCAGCGGGTAGGGAGCAGGGTTTTGCGCTTTTTCTCTAGTTGGATTTGCTTTAATTCAAGTAATAAGCCAGAGATGATCTCACAGAAGAACTTATAAAACCTTGGAAGGACATCTGTACCTATTTCTATATTTTTCCTATCCAGGGAGAATCAAATCTTGTTTTTCACACTGATAGGGGCTGAACAGGCTTAGCAATGGCAGTTGATAGGATTTTCTTACACAAAACTACATTGATGTTGGAATAAACCATTTTTTTTTTTTTTTTGCTTTTTGAGAGTGTCTCACTGTAGTTCAGGCTGGCCTTGAACTCATTATGTAGTTTGGGCTGGCCTCAAACTCACGGCGATCATCCTGCCTCAGCCTCCTGGGTGCTTGGGATCACAGGCATGTGGTACCATGCCTGGCCTGCGGTAAACCTCTTGACCCATGTGAGAGCCCTACTGTCTGTCCTCTGCCTTGGGCAGCGCCTGGATGTTTACCTTGTAGTTCATGGCTGGATTTCCGAGTCTTAACTCTGGAAAAAGACACTTAAACATTTGAAGCTGGCCTTTTTCTAAGAAGGGGATCTGTATGTAGCTTCCCCAGTGAACAGGGAGCTCTCTGACAGGGCAGCTCAGCAGCCCCTGGGCCGGCCAAGCCTCACTGCCTGTGATCTCCTCCCTGACACGTGACAAACTCTCCAGTGCCACTAGGGTTAGGGATGTGGTGGCTGGGAGCTTGCCAAGTGTCACGGAGCAGGCTGCCCCTGCTCTGCAGCCACCCCTCCCAGGGCTTGGTAATGGTTGCTATGGCACCCTTCCCTCTCCTTCCTAAGCGTGTGTCCTCCACGACAGGTGGTGCCTGACCGTCTGGTCCTGTGAGAGGCTCCCAAGATACCTCTGCCACTTCCTGAGCAGCCAGCACAGTACCCAGGCCATCGGGGTCTGAGGGAATGCTAGCTCCTGCAGCCCTTCCTGGGCCTGCTCCTGCCTGATCGTCCTCAACGAGAACACAGTTCTTCCTGAGACTGCTCTAGAAATTTGATTTTTTTTGTAGAGGGAAACAGAGGGAAGACAGGTTTAAAATAGAGTAAAACAAGGCAACAAGAGAATGCAAAGAAGGATCCTGAGTTCCAAGCTCTAGAATTATCCTGTGGGTGGCCCCAGCTCTGAGGCCATTACCTGTCCCAAGGTTCTCAGGTGATTGCCTGCCATCATGCTGTGGGACGCCCAGGTTGTTTGAAGTGAGTTGGGCAGTGGTCATTTGTGTTTTAATGGCTTGGGGTCGTGTGGGAGTTTGTGGTAGCTCTGCCTTCAAAAAGGGCAGGTTCCAGAGGAGGTTGTCCTGGGTGGGCCAGGGATGGTGAGAGGTAGCTCACAGAGGCCCAGCCAGGACCACAGCGACTGCAGGAGTTGCACTCCTGGCGGGAGGCAGGATCAGTAGGCTGCCCAGCCCACACCCACCCACTCCCCACCCCACCCCTATCTCTTCCTTGTCGTCCTTTGCTCCCCTGTTATTCCCCAGCACCCAGACACAGGCCAGGACCCAGCTTTTGATTGCAGGTGGGGGGGGTCTCCCCGTCTTTGCCCCCAGGCCTAGCGCCAGCGGGATCTTTCTGTTTCACCCTGACCTGGGCAGCCAGGCCAGCTCCCTCTGCCCCAGACAGTATGGTAGGACTGGCACAGAAGCTGCTCCGGTAAGCAGCCTGTCCTTGCAGAGGTCTGGAGGGAGTGGAGCTTTAGGCAGAGGGAGCAGTGCGACTGGGGGAGCTTGTGGCCGGGTGTGGAGGGCCCGGACACGCAGTATGTGGGGCCCCACTTGGACCTGGCCCAGATAGAAGGGGGCTCCGCGGGTCTGGGGAGAGGGCACTGCTGCCCCTGGTGGACAGCATTTCCTTTGATCGCCTTTGTTTGGTACCACCTGTAACTCTGCGCCTTTGAATTCTGGGCAGGCGGTAGGGTCAGAGCGGATCTGTCTCCCCTAGGCCTTCCCCTGGACTGTCCCTCCTCCCCGGCCCCTCAGGGCCAAAGACACCGCACCCCACGCTACCCTGCTCCTCCCGCTGATTGCCCTGTCCCCCCAGGTGCACAGCAAGGACAAGAAGTACGTGTGCAAGGTGTGCAGCCGCGTGTTCATGTCAGCCGCCAGCGTGGGCATTAAGCACGGCTCGCGGCGCCACGGCGTGTG